ATATACATATACGTATAGGAATACATACACATATACGTATAGGAATACATATACATATACATATACATATACATATACATATACATATACATATACATATACATATACATATACATATACATATACATTGACACACACACACACTTGTGCTTCAACCATTCACGTACCACAAGTGCATTCCCGAACCTGATCCGTCTTCCCAATACCAAAAGTTGACATTGAACTTGGAAGATCCTCGGCTCCCATTTCCAGTGCATTGCAAAATCGACGCGAAGGAAGGCGCCCATGCATATGTTCACGTGCATCAACACGGCCATGTGATTTCATTCAATGATGCACACGACAACATCTGGATTGTGCTCCCATAGAGAAACAGACAGCATAAGTAGAAATGTAGGTGCTTTGTTTCAGTGGAGTGGTTCAAGCCGTACATCTCTTCAAGCGGTGGACAATGCTATGGATCAATCGTGGGGGCTTCTGTAAGACAGGAGGCTGCAGTCACGCATGCAAGACGTGAGGAGAGACCATAATCTCGACCTGGAACTATATCTGGGAGATTATCACCCTTGTGCTCGTTGTTCTGGCCCCTGGGAGCAAAGGCAGTCCGGGCTGAGTCTTTCAGTGTTTCGGCGGATAGGTCGCAGGAAAAATTCAATCCATGTTTTCTATGTTGGCATGTCCGAGGACACGATACTGATTCCGATTACGCTGGCATGGCCCGACTCGGCGCTTTCGCCGAGCCCGACCTTCTTCTATTTCCAGGCCATATCCCGAAGCAACGGATTCAACGTTTTTTGATTTTAATGATGCCTGCGATGTAATCATTTTGGCTGTAGGGCAGGCCCTGCGAGAAGTCGGAGGCACGTTGCGATGCAGAAGCAGAAGCAAGTCCCTTCTGACCTGGACAGCCTTTGGCTCCTTTCCCTCACCTGCTCAGCTGAAGCCTGCAGCCTTAAACCTTAATGTAAGGTTCCTACTAGTGAGCCGGTGCTTCAATTAACAACCTAGCATTCATCCTGCGAAGAGCCACGAAGGCACAAGTGTCCCTTTACAACGCCACCTATATCAGAAGAATCATGGCTCCAAGCCAGGGCGAAGCTAAGACAAAACCATTTAGGCCCTCAATCTGAGAAGCGAAACCTTCAGGCCGGGCCCTTTCTTTGGAGCTTCGACATTCTCATGAGCTTCGTCCCGGAACTCCGGCTTTATAAAGAGAGAGGACGAGTCAGGAATAAGTGTGACATGCTCGATGGATATTCAGGGGCATGTTCCGGCAGCTTCCCAATCGGAACAGCAGTGCAGAAGGTCCCAGACCCAAGAGCTCACACGTAGAGCTTCTGCTGCCCGAGGCATCTCTAGAGAAGGAAGTGGCGGCCAAGCCGCTGGGCTCGAAAAGAGTTCTGTGGGCCAGGCTTTGGTTTGACAAGGGGCGCTGGGGCTGAGCCTTGACAGCTTGGGACGTGGGAATGTGTAGGGCCTGTGATGCACGAACCTCTCTTCACTCCCGGCCTCCGAAGACAGAAACTGAAAGTGGAGAGCCGGCTGGGGGTTTGGGTCTGCGAGCGCATCGGAGGCTGCAGATGGCCAGGAAGTATGTGTGTGACTTGTGCTGCATTGATGGCGATTTCGGAATTGCAAGCTAGGCATGCCAGACTCACCACAAATGCCCTTTGCCGGCCCTCCAACATGAGCCCGAAAGCCCTGATTCATTGAGCATCAACACGGGCTTCCGTCGGATCTTGCAAGTCGCATGTGCCGGCTGAATGGCACGAGCACCCAGAGAATGGCTCTCTCTTCGAGAACCTCAAGCAGTTCCCTGCATGCCCTCGTCACTTTAGTCCCGCAGCAGCGCCAACATGGCTTTTTCCTGCTCGACGCCCTCTCTGAAGTGCCCGTCAGGTTTGTGTGTGCAAGATATCGCATGTACGCAATCCTCGAGAAGAATTAGGCCTGAAAGTGATCTCGTAAAGCTGAAGTATGTTATCCCCACCTCGATGTAGAAGGATACGACGGAACCATCCAAAGTTTCCCTGTGCTATGCTCAAGGTTCAAGATTTCCGATAGATGCTCGAGCCCCGGAGTGCAGCTGCTCCAACTGCCCATTCTCGGAGCTTTTGGGCATGCTTAGCCCAGGGTTGCAGCGAGTTCAGATGCAGACAAGTGACATTAGAAGAAGCCGCTGCAGTCGCCGGTCTTACTGCCAACAGGAACCAATGCTCCAAGCTAGTATCTCGAGCTTGTATGCAGGCCTTTGAGCCTGTGTGCCTCTTATCCCGTGCCCACCGGTTCAGAGACACCAGAATATTGTGGAGACAGTCTTCTTCAAAACTTGCTACAACGTTGATGCCAGGCTCTCCCTGCTCATCTTTACTCCATCATCCGGCATTGAAGTAAGCACTTCACGCCCCTGCGACCAGGTGTCCCTGGTAGTCTTGGACGTCGTTCTGCTCCTGGGCGTCCTGGAGGATGCGCGGCTCCCCCTGCCGAAACGCGAATGCATGCATTGTCCAGTAGCAAGGAGCACTTTCGCATCTTCACCTTGCTGCGGCTGATTCGGATCCTGAAGCTGAAGAGAGCCGCTGAGACTTCACTGGCGACGACAATGGTGTTCGGAGTTGGTCGCCCAAGCTTCCAGGATCACACAGGGTCTAGCCGAGTCTAGCCCCAACAAGGCTTGAGCAGTAGCTTCGTGGGAAGAGCTAGAAACACGACATCGGGAGCTTCAACCAGGGGCTTCATAGCTGAAGGATAGCAAAGGAGTTGACTTCAAGGAAGACCGGAAGACCCTCGAAGTGCGCTGGCCCGCTGCCTTTGGGTTTCAGGTATTGCAAAGTATCTCTGCCACACTCGGTTGCTCCTATGGGCCTCTTTAAATGCGTGGCGTCGAGCACCACCTTGCAGAACTTCCGCATCACTCGAGGTGCTCACTGTCTTCGAGAACCGCCTCGTTGCCGCGGGGAACATGCTGCCTGGCCGTTGTCTTTCTGCAGAGGGCGCTTTCCCATCCACAGGTGCTGATCTTCGTTGTTCGGCAGAGGTCTCTGACCAGCAAGACTCAGGAAAGCCGTGCCGTACCTGACAATTCTCCAGTGCATCGCGACGGTGTGGCACGGCCGCAAGCCCGAGTCTCTTCAGGCACATTCGCCACAGGCCTTGGCAGCAAACCTTAAGCGTCTTCCAAAATGCAGCCGCATCCTCGTCAATGCCGGGAAGCACGTCGCCCGTGTTTGCCAAGAGTTTCTATTGACAGAAAACTCTCCCAAGACCACGTGCGGAGACGTCAGGCTCGCGGTCAACCACGTGCTGGCGTCCCTGCTGTTTTACGTGGGCCGCATGGGGACGCGCATTGAAGCCACGAGCATCCGGGCTGATCTTGAGATTCCAGAGACCGTCGCTTGCCTTGTCAGGGTGGCTCAGAGCTCCAAGCTCTGCTTCTAAGCAAGAAAGACCGGGTAAAGCAGAACTCGGCAGATCTCGGCAGAAGCTTCAGAAGGGAAGAACTAGCCCAGCGAAGGAAGTCTGAGCCTAACCGGCCGTAGCCTGCAAGCCGCCAGCGTCTGCTAAGCGCATGTGGGAGGCTAGGAAAGGGCAGTGATGATTTGGGCCCTCCTGAGAATAATCCGAGACAAGCCAGGCCAAGCGTTTGAAACAGGTGCCAAAGGCCTTTCTCGTTGTTTTTTTGTTGCCGGGATGAAGGCAAGTTGAAGGCTATCTCAATCGGATGTTTTTTGAGGAGCTGCGAAGCTGCGCAGGCCGTTAGAATGATGGGCGGGTAGAGTCTTACGCACCGCGCTGTTTGGGTCTGCGGCTGGTTCATCCAGCATAGTTCCGCGAACCTTAAAACAGTCAGAAGCTGGACGCAGTTTTTGGCTTGGGACATCTTGGGACTTTCTTCAGGGTTTTTTGGCGCAGCCTCACAGACCCAAGGCCAGATCTGACACAAGGCACCATCTGAACCCGCAGACCCCAAAGCTGTGCGCACAGGCAACTGGGTCGACTTTTACGAGATGTCCTTCCGGACTCCACTCTCGCAGTATATGCACCATGTCTGCAAAACTGACACCGTTGGGTTTGGGCTGGGTCAGGTCTCGGCGCACGTTTGTGAAAGTTTCTATGATGCCATGACCAGTGTCTGCCAGTGCCTCACAGACCCACAGCCCGGAGCTGCTACTCAGAGAGCTGCGAGCCATCGCCCGAACGCGGAGGGTTAGCCTTCAAAGCGTCTTGAGGACCTGCTTCAATTGGGTAATCGCTGAGTATACGCCGGCACCCTTCCCCAACCAGCCGCAGAACGAAGTGGAGCAGTTGCTTATCATCGTCACTCAGTTGGAATTTGGCCCGTGGGGGTCTTGGGGTTTCTGTTGACAGATCCGGTGGCTTTGGCGAACAGAATGTGTGGCATATGTGGCATACCGGCCCGAAGTGTGAACTCAAGCAGAGGTCGCACATCTGTCCGTTGCCCCGTCGCAATTTGCAAGGTGATCATCCTCACCTGTCTGCCCCTCTTGGGTGCCCAGATCGGCAAGATCGGTGGCACGCTGTCACCTTGCCTCAATTGTGGTGAGTTGGTGCTTGGGGCTTCGCATGCGCTTCGGACGAGAGCGGCGGAATAGGCTGTCGAGCTGTTTGCGCCTCTCCTGCCGAGGAACACGATGAAAGAGAAGGCGCGTGCCAGGTCCTCAGCCCTGCAACCCCGGGCAGCTTCGTGCCCAAGGGCACGAGACTCGTCACGAGACAGCACGACGCCTTAAGGAGCGAGACATGGTTCGCCGAGTCCGGGGCTTGGACCTGACGTTCTTCGGGGGTCTATGTCAGCAGTTCAGAAAGAGACCCACCACAGAGCGCGAGGCGGTGGGTTCATAAGTCTCACCTTCTGCGGTCATCAGCTTGTACTTCAATCTCATAGTCGGAGGACCTCCAGCGGTTCCTACAGCGCAAGAACGCGCCAACTCGGCTGACTCGGCGGCCTGGCGGGCAATACGAGACAGCCCTTCAGCGCTCTTGCCGGTGACTTCGCATGTTGAAACGAGCTTTGAGCAAAACGTGCGGAGTTCCTCAAAGGCGAATGCTGACGTCACTCGACGATGTGCTGGACTCCAAGGCACGGCTGGGGCGTGGCTATGTACTTGTCGCCAGAAATCGGATCTCCGAAGCCCAAGATCCACACAAGTTGGCTTCACGTCTGGGTTCCACGAGCTCGAAAGATGGCTGCGCCGGTTCGTACGATTCTCGAGAGACTATGTATGATTTACAGGGTTTGAGCGCGCAAAACCAAGAAACGTTCCGAGTGTTCAGGAAAGCTGCGCCGACCAGAGGAATCTGAAAGGGGCAGTTTTACTTGCAAGGCTCACTCGTGCGAGTCTTCTCCCCTCTCAAACAATGCGAGTAATGCTAGTGCAGGTTGTCCTGGTAGTCACAGAGCGGACCGACCCTCAGGACTCGCCCTTGAATGTGAAGGAGCCGATAGCCTTGAAGCTCCCTGCTGAAAAGTGTGGAGCCGTGAGTTGGTCTTTTGTCTCCGGGGCTTTGCAGACTTGGCGGTGTCGGGCTTGCGCCATTCTGCCGTGTTTTCGCGGATTGGAGTGATTGACGGACGCGAATTTCAGGAATACAGACAGCGTGCAGTCTGTCCAAGGTTCCTTCCGCTCACCTTGCTTGAATGCGCGAAAGTCCTCTCTCTCTCTCTCTCTCTCTCTCTCTCTCTCTCTCTGTGCAACGAGTGAACTGAAGCCAAGGCCGCTTGATGATGACAGGCGTAGGATGGATCCCACAGGAGTTAGATCCAAGAGGGGAAAGGCTGTTCAGCAGAGACTGTGGAACCGTGAGGTTCCTTCCCAGCAGCCTCCTCGACGAACGAGCTCCGGGTCGTGAAGATGAGCGAGAAGTGGCTCGGAGGGACCTTTAGGGAGTTCAGGTAGCAGGCTTATCCTCGGCCTGATTGTAGGCGCAGTCCTAGCCAAACCTCAATCGCGTAGTGACGACTTGGAACATGAGCACAAGCATCGCATCCATTTGATGAGGCTTCTTCGGTTCGTAACACTGGGTAGTTGACAAGGTTTGAGTTTGGATGGTCCGAGATCTTCCAGTCAAGAAGGTGCGGAAGGAAAGCCTGTGTGTGCGAAAGTTGAACAGCTCACCACATGATTGAATCATGTCCTGCACTGCTGCCACTGAAGCAGCTATGTTCGTTCTTGCCCCCTTGGCCTACGTAAGGTTGTAAGTTCAAGCGGGATTGAAGAATTAAGCATTACAGGCTGCGGGAGAGAAGCAGCGAAAGCTCAGGCTCGCCTGCAAGACAGTAGGCAATGGCTAGATACGGGACACCGGAAGCTTAAAAGAAACTTGAGATCCTTTCGCTAGTTCACGTTTGGGCAGGTGTAAGGTGGCTCCAGCAAGGGGAAACCTCTTGCATCTCACTGTCGGAAAGCGTAAAGCCTCGGAACACCAAGCCATGAATCCCGATGGCAGCCTGAGCCCTAGATGTTCGGCCCTTCAAAGGCTCGACGCCCACATGCTCTTCTCGATGCTCATGGACGTCCTTTGGCCAAAATAACGAGTTGGTTAAGTTTAGGGGGCCGTGCGGATGGAACTCTCGGCTGGAGTTGGTTGAAGTCCGAGTCCCTGGCTGCTAGGAGCGTCTCGGGCTTGCTGGTCGGCTCAGCGCCGTGTTCCGGGAAGTCAACGCGGTGCCGGGGTCAGGGAGAAGTTGAGGGAGGGTCCTTGAAGTGCAACTAGGCACCTCGACGTTGCTCAGAGCTGGAGCCCTGGACCTGATGCTATGATCCTGCGGCCAAGACCCCCGCATGGCCGCCTCACCGCTGCCGTTTCACCTCGGAGTTGTGTTTCTTCGGTGTGCTTTTAGAGGATGCTTCTGCGATGCAACTCCCCAGTGACAAGTCCGGTAGAAAGGAGAAAGCTGCCGAACACGTAATGTCTACGCTTGTCAGATGCACATCAACTGCAGAAGGTGCAGGGCGAGAATATCTTCACCAACGGGCGGCCAGGTGAAGGCCTTCTGTGCCGAAAGACTCGGGGGCCGAAGGTTGCAAAAGGGACCTCCGCCTGGGGTCAGTTCCGTTCGTGGGAGCCACCTGCTCGCCGTTAGGGCTTCCGATTCGCTGGGAGGCCTCTACATCACGCAGAGCGGGCGCTTCGCTCTGAGCCAGTCGAAGGGCGCCGCGAGGGAGCTCTGAAGGGGGGCAGTCGCAGAGTGAGGGTCTCTCTTTTTGTGAGGCCTTGTGAATGCCCGGTCATTCTGAATGTCGAAGACTGAAGCAACGCAACCCTGTAGACTGAGTAAACAGCTACCCTTTTTCACTCCTGGGCAGTACAGAAGGGGTTCTGCCATTCAAGGGCTTCTCCGTGCAGGAGAAGTCGACCATCGCTGCGATCCAATCTGAATCCGGGACACATTCGACATCAGGCTCGCTGCGCACGTTCAGCCACTGCATAGCTTGGAGCTCCTTGCAAGGCAGCAGTCCAGAAAAGGCAAAGGGTTCTGTTTTGGACTTCTCGTGCGTTGACCCACCGTTCCCATGCGCTCGCAAAGCTTACTACCGACCCTCTTGGGCTTGTGAGTCCATTCCGTTGGTGCAGATCGTTGAGCATGGTCGTCTTCAGACATGCCCACGTTTGGGCTCTGCTGAGGGCGCGGTTGCGTGACTGCGGCATGAACTTGCGTTCGCGCTTGGAAAACTCGTCATACCCTCGACTGGAAAGCTCAGCTTGAGGATACGACACACATGCGAAGTATAGTATCGCCGCACGGGATGCGAGTTGCCTGTTCGGGCGACCGTAGAGGGGGACTGGTTCTGCATCGTCTAAATAAGATCGTCGTGTGGAGAAGGTAGCAGCTTGCACCATCTTGCACCCTGCACCCGACCTGTGAGCCCTAAAGATGCAGCCGCGTGAGGCATGACGATCCAGCAAGACACATGGCTTGCCGTGGCCGCCTGAGTTTCATAGAAGAGCTGGTGTACAGTGTTGGAGGTGTGCTAAGCATTGTAAAGCATGGTCGCAGGGAGCCCTGAGCAGGGAAGGGTTGTCTATATTCGGGACAGCAGGGCCGCAACAATCTCCACATATGCAGACTTTGGCCTCCTGAAAGTTCGAAGAGCAGGCATTCACCAACCCCGCAATGCCACTCTCGCAGGAGCTCTGCCTTTACACCAATCTGTGCCATGGGCAGCAGTAGTTGTGATGGACGGCTCCCCTTCTGCCACAGCCGTAATACATGGCAGAAAAAGGCCTTTGGTCGAGAAGGTTGGTAGGCGCTGTTCAGGGCCTGCATAGAGTGCCATTTTCTCTATCTTATCTCTCTCTGTCTAACTGTCTCTATTCAGTCCGTTTTGCTCTCAAGCGCTACAGTCAACACTTGCCAACTTTTTAGGCAGATCATTTCGACAACGAATCCTCTGTCATCGTCCAGAGACATAGCGCACAGCTGCCGAAGCGTTAGCCTTTCACTCCGCAAGACCCCAACCCCAGGAACATGGAAAAAACACTTTGCGGAAGCCGATGCGTCTCTTCTCAGGAACCATTCGGTGACCTTGACCACCAAGATCTACTCGAAAGTACTCACAACAGCGATCGGGGAATTTGTTCAGGCAAGAAGGATGTCATGGCTTGGCTTGAGGGAAGCGGGCGCTCTGTCGACACTGTCCATGTGGAGCTTGTTTTTGAGACGGTTTCTCTGCCCTCCGAAGCCTTCTGTTTCCATATTGTGGTAAAGCCTCTACCGGGCACTTCTCTTGTGCTAGCCTTTTTCCAGGCCATCCGCACATCTCCCGCTGCTGTGGTGGCAGTACACGAGTCCCTCAGCCGGTCATGTTCCGGGGGTGTCGAGATCAGGACGGGACTTGGGGTGCGGATGCGCCGCATAGGTCTAGATGCCAGAAGCTTGCGAGACTCTCCTATCATGCCTTTGCAGCTGAAGAGGGAAGACGCAGACATCCGTGGAGCATTCCAATGCAAGGGGCGGATCACTCGCCTGTCCGGACTGTGGACCGCTGAAGGTATGCCAAGAGGCTCCTCAACATGGTGGAGACGCTTGGCTTGAGATTGGGCTCAGCGCGAGGATGGGAGTTCATGTTCGAGGTCGATGTATGGGGCTTTAGGATAGAGGGCATGTAAGCAGAAGACCTAGTCGAAAGTGCGCTGCTTTTCTCGCTAGGTACTTCTTTCGACAAGTTTCCTCGCCATATTGAGGCTTCCACGGCTTGCTTCCCTTATCCGTCAGGGTCTCTTTGTGTGCATGTGCATGTAAAGTGGATGGGCTGGTTAGGGTGAGTGACTTAGTGAGCTAGCAAGTAGTGTGTGAATGTGCGTGCGCAGTTTGGCTCTCTGTCTGGATCAGGCTCACGAGTGTCTTGTTCATCCCCACGTGGGCTTTGCTTGCCTCTATGCTGCCGACTGCCACAAGCGATACCACTACTTAACTCTCGAAACTTACGAAGAAAGGACGTGTCGCAGCTTGCATGAAAAACATGGGAATCAAGTGAGCGCAAGACTGGAAAGAGGATAGCAAAACCCGCATGCCACACCGTCTGAAGTCTGGAGCTCTTTGACCCTGAGGCGGCATGACCACCAAGCCCACATCCCAACAGAGTTCCTTCTCCCAGGATCAAGAGCGAAGGCTGGGAGCTCTTGGCACAGGCAGCCGGGACTCTGGGGCAAGGGCTGGTTCGCTGGCTGGCGGGCTCGCTTGCTCTCTCGACTTTCTTTCTTTTCATGAATGTTTTGACTGGGACATGCATACATACACGCCGTAGGCACATGGTACATGCGTTCATACGTACATGACATGACATGACGGGACGGGATGGGACGGGACAGGAAAGTAGATACGGACATACGCCCATGAATACATGAGAGACAGACAGAGACAGACACACACACACACACACACGCACACACACACACAGACACACAGACACGCAGACACACAGACACAGACACAGAGACAGAGACACACAGACANNTGCCAAAGCCACATGACAATCTATCTGACCTGATTAGTCTGTACAGTCAAAACAGGATGGGGACTGCTTATTCGATTAACACCATACAGGACAACGAACGAACGTATCAAATTGATAGACAAAGACGTAGCCAGACACACACACACACACACATGTACACACACGTACACACACACACACACACGCACATGCATACAGCTACACAAATGCAGAGTCGAGTAGAACGGCAGCAATGCTATTTGTCCTTCTCATCCGTGAGGCTACGGCTGATGATTGTGTCACGCACACACAGCTCGCTGCCGCACGGCCGCAGAAGTCAGTTGTCTTCAACGTTTGGCTGTACGTTCTGGGATTGCTTTGTGTAAGGGGCTTGCAGGTAGGTGACCAGGGTGCCATGAATTCCCAATCCGCCGACACTAGGTTGGGCCTCCCGCCCGAGTTCACAGCTGCGCATGTATTCTTCAGGTTCAGGCTCAGGGATTTGTAGCTTACGAGTCTCCAGCTAGAGCGCAGCGCAAAACACCTCTTACGGTCCGAAGAATCGAAAGACCCGTGAAATTTATTGGAACCTCTGGTGGCCCTGGCGGCAGGAGCTGCTGGACCCTGGCACCGGACGGGTGCACAACCTGAGGTCAATTGAGGAGAGCCTCCAAAACAGGGGCGCTCTCGTTCTTGGGGATTCTCTATGGGAAATCAGACTCGATCCGATCGGAACACGTGAGTTTCGCTTGAATGTTCACTTCCGACAGTGGCGGACCCCCAAAGAGCTAACGAGGAGGTAGACTTCACCGACTTTCTGGACGACATTCGAGAGCCGGGTCTCAGCAACGAGGACCTGGGCTCTCCAAGCATCAGATTTTCGAGCTTCACTAGAGCGCCCTTGAAGAGACCCTGGCAGGCGCGCCTGGATGCCATCAAGAACTACATACCAGAGCTCCGGGAAGACGGTATCTACACAGGGCTGGGGTATGAGGACCGGAAGGTGACAGGGTGGCTTAGGTTCAAGTTTGCACGCTGTGACACCTGGCGGTGATTCTGGCGGTTTGTGCAGGCCTGGACTCTCGTTTTCTCACGCCTGAAGGCTTCGACGCATCGTGGGAAGCGTAAGCCAAGACTCGAAGGCCAGCAACTGAGCCACAGTTTTTGCGGCCCTTGGGCCGTCTCGGCCAATTCCTGGCAATGCATGGGGCACAAACCGTAGAGGCTGCACAGAGTCGAAGCCTCTGGGGCGGAGGATGAGATGAACCGGGCGCAGCTGTCCGTGCTCAGTGCTTTGTGGCTGCTGATGGCACCCCGGCTGTGTTGGTTTGTCGAGTCCTGTGGAGCGTGTTTTCTGCTTCAACCTTGGTGCCTCAGGTTTGTGATTTTCGAAGAGGGTATATATCGGGTTTAAATGTGGTGGAGAGCAAAAGCAGACGAAGAGCGAAAAATGGGCTGTAGAAGTATTTCATGATACCACGACCCTGCGTGGCAAAGTCTTGTCGCACTTCTCAGCTTACTGGCAATGCTTGCAATTCCGTGCTCCGCCAGATGGCAAAGCATGCCATCAGAAAAAAGAGAGTCGGGTGGGCTTCATGCGACGCGCGTCATCGACACGGTGTTGGAAGAACCCCAAAGCCGAAGCTTGTGTCTCCTGGTTTGCAGGAAGAGTTTGAGCATGGTTGTGGGACCGCTGTGCAAGAAGCCCCTTGCATTGAGCCTGCTGTTCTTGCAGGTACCCGTCTTAAGGCCATGGGAAGCACCAGATCATAATCTGCGATCACAAGTCTCATTGCGAAGACTGTCCTGCTGAGGACGACTACAACAGTGTGGTTGATTGTCAGAAGATCACTCAGAGGCCAGGGCCCGAACGTGGGCCGAGAAACTCTGCATCTACTTTCTCACCTCCCCGTAGGCTCAACACTGCACATGTGATGCCCTGCAGTCTAGCAGTTGAATTTCAAAGTCCTCACAACTACTCCACCTAATGACCCTTCTTGACATGATCACTGCCGACATTTTCGCATGGGCCCCTCTTCGCCTTTTCGC